CTGCTTGCTTTTGGATTTTGTTGGTTTATTGTAGTGAGCCCTTTTGATGCTCTTCTCCTTTCCTTTTGTGCATGTTTTTTAATATATTTTCTTAGTGGTTACCACGAATATTACATTTAAGAGTTTGTATTTATAACATTCCAGGGTAAGTTGGCGCCAACTTTATTAACATACAAGAAATTCTGTATACCATTCCTCCCCCGCTTTTGTTGCTGTTATCACTAATTACATCTTTATATTTCATGTGTCCTGTAACATAATTTTATCCTTGCCTTTTCAAAATTTGTTATTAATAAAATATGAAGGACAAAACAATTAGAATTATCAAGCATGAATACCATATTACTAGCCTATGTACTTTTCCATGCATTTCCTTTTGTTAGGGATCTTTCTTTTTATGTATAGCTTTGAATGACTTTCTAGTCTTTTCCCTTCCATCTACGGAACTCTCATTAGTATTTTTTACTAATCCACCATCTGGTGGGTATTAACTATCTCAGCTTCTGTTTTAATTTCACCTCATTCTTGAAGGATAGTTTAACTGGGTATAGTATTCCTGGTTGACAGTTTTTTTCTTTCAGCACTTTAAATATATTTTTCCATTGCCTTCTGGCCTCCAGTGTTTCTGAGGAAAAATCAACACTGAATCTTATTGGGGATCCTTTGTACGTAACTACTTCTCTCTCACAGCGTTCAGAATTCTCTCTTTATCTTTAATTTTTCAGAGCCTAACTATGATGTGTCTTGGTGTAGATCTCTTTGGGTTTATCCTGCTTGGGGTTCTTTGAGATTCTTGGATTTGTACATTCATGTCCTTTGTTAGATTTGGGAAATTTTTCTGTCATTTTTTTCAAATATTCTGTCTCATCTCCTTCTGGAATTCCTGTGATGTGTATATTAGGTCTCTTTTCGTTGTTCTGTAATTTCATTAAACTGTGCTCAGCCTTCTTGAGCCTCTGTTCATGTTACTCTTCAGTGTCTGTAACTTTAACTCTCTTATCCTCTAATTTACTGATTGTTTCTTCTGCCTGATTAAATCTGTTGGTAAGTCCTTCTGTGGTGTTTCTCAT